TGATTATCTTTTTAAAGGTATGACTTGTGGTTAAGGAATCCGAACAAATATGCGTATACAAAAATTCTCTCATTTGGTTCGTTATTGGGTCAATCGTTAAAAGCTATTGTTTAAAATTGATATGTTATTTTACAAATTATCAAACAAAGATCATATGGCTTGCATTTGTTGAGTTTAAGAAACAACGAGTTCATAGATAGTATCATAGATGGCGCACTACTTAACATTAGATTATTTTCTTTTTTTTTTTTTTTAGTTATCTTAACTGGTGACTCTAGGGTCGGTAAATCTAATCTTCTTTCACGTTTCACTCGTAATGAGTTCAATTTGGAATCCAGATCAACTATTGGTGTTGAATTTGCTTCCAAGTGTATTCAAGTAGATAATAACATTATCAAAGCACAGTTTTGGGATACTGGTAATAATTTTAAAATATTATATTAATTCATTTATGCTTTTTGACCACGATTCTGATAATTGATTAACTTCTAAACGCTGGCTGTGAGCATTATAGAGCTGTTATAAGAGAGTAAGTAATTTTTATCTGGTTACGCCAACTCAGCGTTTTAGTATAATCCAAATTTTACATTTTACTATGATTAACACAGATATTACCGTGGAGCCGTCGGCGCCTTACTTGTTTATAATATCGCCAAATATGTAACATACGAAAATGTCAAATGCTGGTTGAAAGAATTAAGAGACTATGCTGACAGTGATATTGTCATTATGCTTATTGGAAATAAGTGTGATTTAAAATTTTCGCGAGTAGTTTCTACTGAAGAAGCCAAGCAATTTGCCGGTATGTTTATATTAATGTCTGTTAGTTTTTTTTTTTAATGTTATTGTATTAAACATTTTCATGCAATATAAATTCTATAAGAGGAAAACAATCTTTATTTCATCGAAACTTCTGCTTTTGATGCTATTAACGTAGAACTTGCTTTCCAAAACATTCTAACCGGTAATTTTTTGCATTGTTTCATTGTTAATTTATTGCTATCTTTATCTTATTACAATAATATTCTATCCTTCAGAAATTTACCGTAGAGTATCTAATGTATCTGAATCTAGTAATGCTGTTATATCTAGTAATGCTGTTATTCTCTATCTAGTAATTATAAGATGAAAGGCAGTGTTAAACATCAGTTGTTCTCAATATTCTCAAGATTCAAAAAAAATTAAGGACATTATATTTGAAGTTCATGTTCTTTTTTGAGAACAATCCAAGAACATAAAATTTATAATATACGTTCTCAATAAACAATTTTTAATCTATTAATATTCTCATAAAATATAATCTAAAAATATTACAAGGCCACGCAAACTTATACTATCGATTCTCATATCACCAAGTAACCATTAAGCAGGCTAGCGACCCGGATTTTAATTTTTTTAAAAATTTTTTATTATTAATAAAAAATTTATCGACAGAATATCCGGTAAAAAAAATTATATTTAAAAATTTTTAATAAAGATATATGAACAGATTTAGTATTTTTACTTGGTGTGAAAGGTGATCTATTATTTTACATATGCTAGGAGGATTAAGTGTGACGATTATATATAAATGCTTCTTTTTTTAAGTAAAATCAGTTCTAAATCGTTTTAGTTGTATTTTTTAAACAATTCTAGATCTGAGACATAAGATTGCTTTTATTCTGCAAAATATTGCCATTGTCAAAGTCTGAATGAAAATATTCAGTACAGTACTATTAATGTTTCAAGTTTGCTTAGAGTTAATATGAGATAACCATGTGACCGAAACCCCCGGATTTTCGGACCTAGTTTCAGCTTCGGATTTTATCAAATTTCGGCCCAGGACGATCATTTCCAAAACTAAAACCTCGGACGAAAGGCTAACTAAAGTCGAATCTAAATGAAACCTTTATACGAGGATTTAAATTCTAAACGAAGTATTGTATATAGTCGAGACTCTTAAAAAGATAATAATGAATAAAATTAAATATTTTAAAATAAGAATTTTGCAATAATTGTTTTAAATGTCTTTTTTCTTTTGAATAAAACATGTCTTCGAAAAAAAAATCTTTAGTTAAAAAAAATGTGGGTGGACGTCCTCGTAGTGAGGTATGGAAATGGTTTGTAAAAGGTGATGAAACTTCTAGAAAAGGATATTATTCTGCAACATGCTTTTTTTGTAATGAACACTGGGTTGCTAAGCCAAGTAAACTCAAAACACATCTCACATATGATTGTCAAAAAATTGATTCAGATACTAGAATTAAGGTTTTAGTATCATTAACAAATGATTGTGCTTGATTCAGATGATGATATGGCCTCAACATTGACTACAGCAGGTAAAAAGTGAAAATTGAAAAAAAAAAGTATTAATATTGATAACGAATATGAAAATGTTCCTACTTCATTAAGTAAGACCAAATTAATAAGATATTACTAAAAATGGTTGTATGTTGTAATTTACCTTTCGCCCTTGTTGAGCATCCCTTTTTTCAAGAATATACCAAAGCATTACATAGTACATACAATATTCCAAGCCATTGGGTTTTATCAAATACTCTTTTAGATCAAGAACTTGCTCGAGTAGATCTAAAAGTTAGGCTAATTCTCGATAAAGAAATCAATCTTACAATTGCATTTGACGGGTGGACAAATTCTACAGGTAGTGTTACTTTTTTTTTTTTTTTCCACTTAGGCCATCTTGCTTTTAGTTTTCTTTTTTACTTTACGATTGTTTGGTATTACAAAAGGCTT